CTATTCCTGACTTCAGGCAAGGTTTCCTGACCTACAGAAATGAGGCGTGTGAATTAACCGATCTCACAGGTTTCTTGCAGCAGTAAAGTTTTGTACTTTTCCATGTTTTTCAAAGGGCAATCCATTAGTTTACTTTTTTTTATTAAAAAGTAATTTATTGAGGTGAAATTCACATAACACAAAATCAACCGTTTTAAAGTGAACAGTTCAGTGACACTGAGTACATCCACAGTATGTACCATCATCACCTCTAATTCCAAAACGCTTCCATCTTTCCAAAGTGAAACCCCTTACCCACGAAGCCCCTTATCCTCGTTCCCTGCCCCTAGCCCCTGCATTCTGTCTCTATGGATTCTGCCTTTTCTGGAGATTTCATGTAGTTGGAATCAACCTCTGTAAACTTTTGTGTCTGGCTTCTTTCACTCAGCATGACATTTTGGACGTCCGTCCATGTTGTAATATGTATGTCAGTGCATTCCTTTTATCCAGTGTGTGTAGATCACAGTTTGTCGATCCATTCATCTAGTGGCGGACATCTGGGTGGTCTCCACCTTTTGTTGTGAAAAGTGCTGCTACAAACATGCATGTTCTTGTTTCAGTATCTGTTTTCAATTCTTTGGGGTACAGCTAGTGGTGGCATTCCAGGGTCACGTAGGAATTCTGTGCTTACCTTTCTCAGGGCAGTGGAACCATTTTACATTTCCATCAACAACCTGCAAGGGTTTCAATTTCTTCACATCTTTGCCAACATTTATTATTTTTCATTATTATAGCTGTCCTAGTAGGTGTGAAGTGGTATGTCATTGCGGCTTTGACAGAGCAATACGTTAATGAGTTAATTCTTTAAAAGTCAACTTGTAATCATAAAATCAGCATCAATGGTGGAAGCACCTGAGGCTTCTAGACCTTTGCTCACCGCACTCTTGTGGTCGCAGGATATCCGTCCCAGGCCTTTGTCCAGTTTGCCAGAAGGCCAAGTTCAGAAGAAGAATGTTATTTTATCAAGGATGGGCAACTCCTTCGGCCGGGTAGGGTTGCAAACGGAAGAGAGAACACCCACTTAGTACCGCAGTAACAGCGCTCTAAAATGCTACTTTTGTTTTTCATTAAATGCAAAGGTTTATGCATTCCTGAGAGAGAAGACTACATCAGAACATCCATCTGGAATCACAGACTTTTCCTGTTTTTAAGAACAAGGGCTGGTTCTAAATTTGGAGGATACGGCTCACCTGCTCAGTATATTTTTGTCTGAGTAGGTGACGCCATTTGGTAAGGGAAGGTTCAGTGATTTTAGGCCATTTCTTAAGGAGTTTCAGGTCAAAGCAATCTGCAGAATATCTAGAGGTGGGAGGAAAGAAGTGATCCCATGAAAGGACAGAGGAATAAGGTTCAGAACGAAATGTGGAAGGAACGTCTTTGATTTGGTGTCTGGAATGCTTTTTCTCCAAGGATAGGAAAGCTACTCGAGGACCGCTTAGCTTTAGGCCTCTGAAAACTGTCATTAATCACACTACATGGGAGCCTATTTAATGATCTGTTTTCCTTGAAAATAATATATGTTATAAAAGCAGTCAGGCGAATCGTGATCATTTCTATTCCCTTCAGTCTCCAAGGGGCATGAAGTTCCCATAAGAAGAACAGTCAGGAACAAGTCGGACTACAAGGCCGTAGTTTCAGAGCGTTTATTTCCCGGATACATTTGTGAAACTGAGATGAAGAATTGAATTAACCTGCGAAAGGAAATGCTCAGGAATGGCCAATGAATTGGAGATACCTATTTCTCACTCAAAATTGCCTTAATGGCTTGTAATGGGTGTCTGATTTCAAAACACACATTTCGCAGAGAAAATATGAACTCTCCTTTGGAAAGTTGTGGTCAAGTCATAGTCGTCCTTCTAAAGTCTGTGTGATCCAGCTCTTCGGGGTTCCCTTTTCTACACATGCAACTCCCCCTCCCATCTCCGGCCTCTGCCTGGAGCACGTTCCCTGTACACGCTCATACCCCTTATACTTCCACTTTCATAATCCTTACAATGCACCCTAGCTACTTGCTAATGCCCATTTTCCTCATAGGCTGTAAGTTCCAGCCTTGTTCTTTGTATATCCGGTAAGTGCCCTTCAAACTTGAATTGACTGGACTCTCCAAGGAATAAACATTACTTAAGCATCTGGTTTTCACACTCTGATGCAGATGAACCATGTCCCCTGCTGTCCCCTCCTTTTCTCTTTTTTCCTCTTGTCTTTTTGAATGAGCTTATTTGCAGCAATGGCTTTTGGTCAGACCGTAAGTGTGTGTGCTGGCTGGACAGCCTCTTCCCTCACAGGAGTCACAGATTCTTCTCCAGGCTGCTCCTTTGAAATCCTGCTAGAAATACTCAAGCTCAGCCTGACTACACAAATGATGCTGGACTGACAACAGAGAATTATTCATTAAAAAAAAATAAACAGTGCTTCCTCCCGCTCATAGGCTCACAGCAAAGGTGGCACTCTGTGGGTCAGTGTTATTAACAATCCACGGTAGGGGAGGGATAAATTAGGAGTTTGGGATTAACAGATACACATTACTATACATAAAACAGATAAACAAAAAGGACCTACTGTATAGCACAGGGAACTATATTTAATATCTTATAATAATCTATAATGGGAAAGAATTTGAAAAAGAATAGGATTTTATATATATGCACATATACCTGTGTATATGTATAAACTGTGATATATATATATGTGTGTACATATAACTGAATCACTTTGCTGTACACTTGAAACTAACACAACATTGTAAATCAACTAATTCAATTAAAAACAACAACAACAACAAAAACTTATGTCATCTTCAGGGGCTGCATGATCCCGTTGTGGGAAAATTAGTGGCCCTAGAAGAAGCGCTTTAGAAGTTTGGTTTGCTATTGTTAGGGGAGAGAAGACACTCAGGACTGCTGAAGAGGCAGCCAAACCTACAAGTTGCTGGTTTTATAGCCTCCGGGGATTCACGTGATGCTGATCAAGGAGGCTCTGCCCCGGTCTAGCCCTTCAAGGCATGGGCATCGCGGGGGATGGGGTGAGGCGTTACTGATCTACGCTGGGAGAAGGTGCTTAGGCCCTGCGGCTGAGTGCTCACAAGAAGGAACATTTCAATAATGCACATTCAATGGGCGGCTCTGGTTTTCCTGATTTTTGCCTCTGGTCTTGTCAGTTTCCGGATTCATTGTTCTAAATGCCCTTTCCTTTACCGGAGGGCTCGCGCCCTCTGGTGGTGAAAGTGAAGTACAACAGTACTGCCAAGTTGTTTTGCTTTACCTAAATCCTGCAGTGACTGCAGAATCCTTGGTGATGTTTGCCTAAATTATCAGTGATCTGTTTCCTAGCATCTGTACACTAACCCTTCAGTTTCAATCTAGTGGGTATGGAGTGCCTTTCCTGGTAATCATACATTTGCAACTGGAAAATTTCGACCATAGCACATTACCGTGGTTCTCAAATATTGAGGTGCAAAAGAATCACCAGAGAAACCTGCCTGATTAAAAACTTGAGTTCCCAGCCACAGCTCCCGACGTTCTAGTTCAGTAGGCTTTGGGTTTCCCAGAAACCTGCCCATTTAAAATGAGCACCCCATGAGGCTGACCCGCATGGCTTTTCTTTGAGAAATGCTCGCCCAAAGGCTAGAGTGTGGATTTTGAACCAAGCTCAAGTCCCACCTCTGCTGTAGTGTGACACTGAGTACATTCCTTGACCACCAGTAGCCTTGGACTCCATCTGCAAAAAAGGCAGTGGGACTATCAACACCACAGGGATGTTGTAAGATAAAATGAAATCCTAATATAAAGGGCTTGGCCTGGGATCTGGCCATGATGGGTAACCAGCACATGCCAGCTCTTATTATTTGTAGTATTAATCCTAATTAGCTCAAGCTACAGGGCAGAGTAGACCAGGGGAAGCTTGGGTTTTCTGGACCCAACAGGCATTAAATCTTGGGCGCTGAGGTCTCTGTAGTGAGTCCCTGCCACAGAGTCCCTCACTCCAAGGACAACCAGGGGCCACTGACCCCACCCAGATGTTTATGCTCAGCAGATAAATGACACCCACCCCACTAGAGAGCTGCTGAGGATGCTAGAGTCTGGACAGAAAAGTGCTTTGAGATTAAGACGCTTAAGGGCACGGAAGGTGTTCTTACACATCTTTGTACCTTCCGGGCCAGATGGGTGAAAGAGAAATAGGAGTCAGCAGTTCTATATAATGATATTAAGGGAACGACTTCTGTTTCTTCATCTCTAAAACGGGCATGATAGTCATATTTTCCCCACATAGTTCTGAAGAACAAATGATATGTGTAAAACCTTTGGTGTGACGACTAATACCAGGTGTCCTTGGAGAGCACTGTTACCTGTACCCCTCCTGGCTGTGAGTGTATATGTGGGCTCATTTTCAGAGGCAGATACTGATCAGGAGAAGGGAAACCGGTGATCTAGATGTGTAGTGAGATTTTAGAATAGTGTTTCTTCCTGTTTTTAAAAAATCTGTTTCCCTTGAGAAACCTAAATGTCATACCTTCTTTTAATATATATTTAGTAAGTTTAATATATGTGATATATATTAAAAATTATATGCATATATATACAATATATGTATGTATGTATGTATGTATATACACACACACACATAGTTATTGTATTCACGTATCAGGCTACTAGTATTGAGGTTATAATAGAGCAAAGTTATATAATGACTCATCAAATTGTGAAGTCAGTGTGGATTATCCTGTTGATACATTTTAGTCCATGTTTATGTTCATCTCCTGTGTATTTTCAAATTCTTCCAACTGACATCATTTAGCTGGTACTTCCCTTGTTAATGTGAAGCTACCCTTTTCCGGGAAACATTAAGCATCCCGGCGTGGCATGTCCTCGGCTGCACCACTAGAGGGAGCCACTGTGTAACGGGTGAGGTCGACCTAACGGAAACACCGCTATCGGGCACTGATCAGAGGCCAAGGCTAAAGGTTACAGGGAACATATTTCAGATTTATTAAAAAATACATAGGAGACGAGTCAGAGCTTTGGCTAGGAATGATTTGGAAAAGAATAGAAGGCATTATTCCACAAAACATTCACAGTGTGTGCTCGAGACAGACGGAGAGCAGGGAAGTGTTTTAGAAGCATTTGCGGTGGACAATGGATGGGCCGGCTTCGTCGTACTCCTGTTTGCTGATCCACATCTGCTGGAAGGTGGACAGAGAGGCCAGGATGGAGCCGCCGATCCAGACAGAGTACTTGCGCTCGGGAGGGGCAATGATCTGTTGGGCAGGACAAGAAAGAAGGGCCGTGAGTGCACGAGGACACGTCTGGGCATTCTACCCTGGTCCAGATCTGGTGGACAGCAAGGACAGTCCTGGCTGTTGGATGCCAAACCCTGACCCTGACCCCGACCCCGACCCTGACCCTAACCCTGACCCGTGAGGTGTGAATAGGTTGTGGATTTAGAGATCTTCAATGAGCACATTTGTTTCTCTGGCTTCCTTTTATACAGTCTGTTCCAAAGCATCTGTGACCCCTCTGCTGCATTCAGTCTACTCTTGGGCAAATTGGAAGTTGGCCCCACATCCTACCTGACCTCCACTTAAGCCCTGACGACGTCCCTGATTTCCGTAAGCTGTTCCTCGGAACTCAGCATGACACATAATTCTGTAGGCATGAACG